ATCAGTGAATAAAAACAGGAAAAGATACCTGCCCTCATGGAGTTATTCTTTTAGAATTAAAATATGTTGGGGCCGGCCCGGTGGTGCACTGCTACAGTGCGCTGCTTGGGAAGCGCGGTGGCGCTCCCGCCGAGGGTTTGGATCCCACATACAGACCGGTTCCTGCTCACTGGCTGAGCGAGGCGTGGGAGCAACACCGAGGGTTGCGATCCCGTTGCCGGTCCCGGTCCGGTCCGGGCGCGACACTGAGGGTTGCGATCCGTTGCCGGTCACGAAAAAAGACAAAAAGGAAAAAAAAAAAAAAGAAATGTTTCATTTCCTTACAAATTACCCAGTTTCAGGTGTTCTATTACAAGCAACAGAAACAGACTAACACAGAATACTGCTCGCTCCAAGCGAGAGGATTTACTTCCAGTTCCTCTGTGGTCAGGAGGCCGTGGGAGCCAGAACCAGCCTCCTCCACCCACACACCCCAAGCCTGCAGGGAAGAAGCTGGGGAGCCTTCCTAAGGGCACAGACAGGGCTGCCCAGGGGCAGAGCCTTCCTCCTGTGTTTGAGGGGGAGCTGTTGGCTGCCCAGGGAACGAGAACGACGGACACCATGGAGGTGGATCTCGCAAGACCTTCCCTCCCACCCATGGTGTCCAGACATCATCTCAGAGGATTAAAGACCTGAAAACCAATGTGAACGCTTTATTTTAATATTAGATTAACTGTTATGGAAACATCATAAACACACACCTTAGAGCATCTACCTTTAAAGGAGTGTGTGTGTTCACAGAGAATGCTGCCCGTGAAAAGCCTCAGAGGACGCTCAGACCCCCAAGGGAAGACTGTTGGGAAACAAGTAGACACATAAAAAGGGGTCACCACCCCAACCAGACGGTCAAACTTCACATGCTCTAAATGGACTGTCATCCTGACATTCCCTACCTGGTTTTCCCACCAGGAGCATGTCACTCGGAAGCCTACCATGAAGAGTCAGACAATACACGTGGAAAGACAGTCTGTAAAGCCACCAGCCTGGACTCTTCAAAAAGTCAGTTGGGGGGCCGGCCCGGTGGCGCACCCGGTAGAGTGCGGCGCTTGGGAGCACGGCGGCGCTCCCGCCAAGGGTTTGGATCCGGTCCGCTCACTGGTTGAGCGCGGTGTGGGCGCAACACTGAGGGTTGCGATCCCGTTACCGGTCACGTAAAAAGACAAAAAGGGAAAAAAAAAAAAAAAGAAAAAAAAGTCAGTGTGGGCTGTCCGGTTAGCTCGGTTGCTTAGAGCATGGTGCTGATAACACCAAGGTCCAGGGTTCGATCCCTATACCGGCCAGCAAAAAAAAAAAAAAAAGAAAACTTTTTTAAAATTTTCAAAACATTTCATATTTTATTAATATTTTAGCTTAAGGGCCAGCCCTGTGGCTCACTCAGGAGAGTGCGGCGCTGGTAGTGCCGAGGCCACGGGTTCGGATTCTATATAGGGTTGGCCGGTGCGCTCGCTGGCTGAGCGTGGTGCGGACGACACTGTGCCGAGGGCTGTGATCCCCTTGCCAGTCAAAAAAAAAAAAAAAATGTTAGCTTAAAAATAAAAATGGAGTTGAGTCTTTCTAGGTGTTTACATGCCCATAAAGGGCAAGAACTCCATAAAGATCCCTCCAAACAATGGCTAAAATCCCACCCCCAGTCAGGCTGGAGACTATGAGCAGAAGAGGAGGTGGGGCCCTGGGCATCCCGGGGTCAGAGCTGTGTGAGCCCCCAGGACAATGACAGCAGGGTCCTGGAACCCATCCCAGCTCTGAACCAGAGACCGAGGATAAATGACTAGAAGGGAAACTCCCCTCGCTCGCGCTCCCACCTCCCGGAGCCCTGGGCTGCTGCCTCCCACCTCCCTGCACCCCCTCCCCCAGCCGGCTGGCCCTGGACGCTGCTCGAGCTGCAGTGACCTTTTGGAACCCCCATGCTTTCTGCTCTCCTCTGTCCCCCTCCCCCATGGGCCACGGAGCCAACTGACCAAACTGACAGTTGCAGGTGCTTCAGCTGACGGAGGCGGGGGCTGTGGCAGCAGCCAATGAGTTAATGGTACTGGCGGGGGCTCCGCGTGGGACGCAGGGGTCAGATGTCCCTTGAGATGGGGACTGGCACATAGGCTGCTATTCCAGGGCTCTGATCGCAGCTGTCTATTTATAGTGCTGGGGGGGCCTCCTCACACAGGCAGCAGACAGGCTGCCCTGCTGCAATGTCACCATAGTCACTGCCGCAGCAGGCTGCCGGCACCTGCCACCGCCACAGGGGACACAGGGGCTTCAGCCCGGCAAAGACCCCAGGGCCACTGAGCACTACATGACGGGGGACGTGGCCAGCCAGATGGGCAGCACCATGGAGCCCCCCGGGGGTGCGTATCTGCACTTGGGCGCCGTGACGTCCCCGGTGGGCACGGCCCGCATGCTGCAGCTGGCCTTTGGCTGCACCACCTTAAGCCTGGTGGCCCACCGGGGAGGCTTTGCAGGCGTCCAGGGCACCTTCTGCATGGCTGCCTGGGGCTTCTCCTTCGCGCTCTCTGTCCTGGTGGTGGCCTGTGAGTTCACGCGGCTCCATGGCTGCCTGCGCCTCTCCTGGGGCAACTTCACGGCAGCCTTCGCGATGCTGGCCACCCTGCTGTGCGCCACGGCTGCTGTCATCTACCCGCTGTACTTTACCCGGCTGGAGTGCCCACCCGGGCCCGCGGGCTGCACTGTCAGGAACTTCCGCCTGGTGGCCAGCGTCTTTGCCGGGCTCCTCTTCCTGGCCTACGCCACCGAGGTGGTCCTGACACGGGCCCGGCCCGGCCAGGTGACCAGCTACATGGCCACTGTGTCGGGGCTCCTCAAGATTGTTCAGGCCTTCGTCGCCTGCATCATCTTTGGGGCGCTGGCCCACGACAGCCGCTACGGACGCTATGTGGCCACCCAGTGGTGCGTGGCCATCTACAGCCTTTGCTTCCTGGCCACGGTGGCTGTGGTAGCCCTGAGTGTGACGGGCAGCACAGGGGGCCTGGGCTGCCCCTTCGACCATGTGGTGGTCATGTACACCTTCGTGGCCGTGCTGGTGTACCTCAGCGCTGCTGTGATCTGGCCCGTCTTCTGTTTTGACCCCAAGTACGGCGAGCCTAGACGGCCCCCCAACTGCCCTCAGGGCAGCTGCCCGTGGGACAGCCAGCTGGTGGTGGCCATCTTCACCTACGTCAACCTGCTTCTGTATGTCATCGATCTTGCCTACTCCCAGAAGATCCGCTTCGTGCCCACCCTGTAGCCTAGAGGGCAGCAGCTGCTCACCTCCGTGCTCTGGCCGGGGTTCCAGGCACCCTGAGGGTGACCCAGGTGAACTAAGACCTCAGGGAGCAAGCAGGAGGGAAGCTAAGGGCTCAGGGAAAACAAAGTGCAGCAGGAGAACCGCACCTGGACTTCCGGCAGAGCTCCACAGCTGGGCTCGGGGAGGGACACAGAAGGACAGAGGGGCGGGAGGCCCGAGCAGGGAGGCACGGGGGAGCCTCCCCTCAGGCAGGTCCCAGGCCCTCATCTACCTACCTGCCTGCCTACCTGCCTGCCTGCCTGTCTCCATTTCCCAGCCCTCCCTAGGCTCAGTGCTGGTCACTAGAACACATGAGAAACCTCCCAAGCAGGTGCTGGTGTGACCCATTTTGCAGACAAGGATACTGAGCCCAGGAGGATATAAGAAGTGGCCGGTATGTCCACCAGTGTCTGGAGACCATGCTCAGGCTGGGTAAAATATGCTGAAAATGTGGAAAAAGTTGGAAACAAACCCAGGAAAGTGCCGGAGCTGGGTCAGCAGAGGAAGATGGGGGCCAGAACCTCTTCCTGCCTCACAGGGGAAGTTCCTGGACCCCTGGAATGGAGAGCCCTGCAGGGGCCTGTGCCAACTCCCAGACAAGGAACCGCAAAATTGGAACCAGCCTCTCCTGCCTCTGGAGAGCCTCCGAGTGGCCTTAGCCCCTGGAAGCAGAGCAAGGACTGGACTAAGGTCATGCAGGGCTGCCACCCAGCTCAGCAGGCTAGGGATGGTGCAGGTGGCCTGGAAGGGCCCAAGAGCCTGTGGCATCACCAACAGCACAGTGTGCCAGGGAGGAGCTGGGCTCTGACCCAGTCATGAAGCCCCCACCTGGAATCCCGCCATCAGCTGTGACACAGAAGGAGGGCCCGGCCCAGGGCAGCCACTGAGCACTGGACGCCTCTATCCAAGTATCCACTTGCCCAGCCACTCCTGACCACCAGACCCTCATTCCCCATGCTCCAGCCAGCTTCTCCCATACAAGAGCCCAGCCCGGACAGGCCTGGACCAAGCCGGGGGCCAGCGGCACAGCCCCTCAGCCCACAGACCGGCCCCCAAGGTCCTCAAGCAGACAACAGATATCGATGCTGACTGGCACCTTGGCTCTGGTTGAGCAGTCTCTGCTGAGGGGCTGCAGCCAGCTGTGCCTCCCGGGCCACACCTGCCAGCATGCTCTGGGAGAGGGGCCTAGATCCTGGCTGGGGGAGCAAGGGGCCCAGGGCATGCCACTGGGGGGTGGAGACCTCACCTCTCAGGTGGAGGATGGGCCAGGGTGGCTCAGAGTCCTGTGGGGAAAAGGGAGTTGATGTTGAGCTGGTCCTCTTCCCTCCCAGAGGCACTCAACACTCACCACCACCCCCACACCCCTGCCTGGGTGTCTCCAGGAGTCCTAGTCATGGTGGTGGGCAGAGGGGCTGCTGAACATTCTGGCCTGTGAAAACAGAGCAGCTTTTAGGCACAGGCTTCGAGGGCTCCCCAGCCTGGCCCTGCGCTGGCGCCATGCAGAATGTGAGGCAAATCACCTCCGCAGACCCACTGGGGAGGGCACAGACAGACAGTCAAGCCCGACGTCCTTTACTTGGACGGGTGGATGTTTGGGGCTCAGTGACAAATCCCCGAGGGGAGCAGGCAGCTGCTGGGCTTGAGGGTCCTGAGGGACCCTGGTGGCTGAGAGGGGGTGGGAGCCTGAGGACCAGGTTACCAGGTGACAAAGGAGCATATGGGCTCACAGGGAGGCCTGGCCACCAGTCTTGGGAGGGGCCTGCCCTTTTTTTCTCCATCCTTTGCTGCCAAAATTCTACAACAAGTAATCTGTCACCAACTCCCCGACTTCCACACCATCCAGTGGCCTTCTGCCCCCAGTGCTCCACCCAACCTAAATTTCAAAGGTCCTGAGGGAGAGACAGAGGAGGGGACCAGGGCTGAAGATGGGCGTGGCAGAAGGTATGTAGGAAGCTCACCTCCAGGTCTGTCCTGTGTCCTGTCCCTGGACCACAAGACTGTCCTATTTTTTGTTTTTTGTTTTTTTTAAGGGGGAGCATTATTTGCTGTTATTACTTGGAAATAAGTAATTTTTAAAGTAGGGAGTTTTGGTCTCAAACTACAGTGGAACTTCTCGGCTTTGTGTCTGTGGGTTTGACCTGTCTATTTCGGACAAGCACGTACTACGGCCCATTCCTTGGAGGGTGAGTGACCATCCAGGCGGTCACTAGTGTCCGTGGTGGTCATTATGTATCAACGAGAGGGGAACCAAGTATACAGGAGACCAGAACTCACAGCCCTGCCTTTAGGCACAAACGTCCTGGGCATTCTGAAATTACGTCCCCAAACAGCTTGTCATCATCTAAGACGCAGGACAGAAGTAAAGCAGCTCATCCTCTCCCCTCGGTGGGGGCAAGGGTCGTTGCTGGTTCCAGGGCTCGGAAGCCCTGCCCTTGGTGTTGCCAGCACCGTGCTCTGACCCAGTGAGCCAACCGGCCAGCCCAATGGTGAGCACTTTTTACTTTGTCCTTAATCTGGCAGCTGATGGGGACTCTGGACCACACGCAGCCAAGTGCAGCCCTGAGCATGTCCTCAGGGGGAAATGACTAAAACCCAGGACCAAAAAAATCCCACAGACTCTGCAGAGGAGATGTCAGGGAATTCGGGGGTATTCTGGGCCCCACGGGAGCTGGGGGGTCCCTGTGGGATCCTCCTCTATTGACTAGAGGACGGCCACTATGCACCTGCTCAGGGGGGTTTCAGACGGTAACGGGCCTGTGGGGCAGAGGCACACAGCTCTCAAAGGGAGAAGAAAACCACGAGGCGGGGAGGAAGGGGGTCCAGATCTGGGAGGAGAGGGGGTGTGTGAACTCACCTAGACTTTTCAGGGGCCTCCCGATTTCGAGATTCTAAATGAGAGTCCTGCCCCGGCCTTCTGAGGCCCAGATAGGCCTGGGCCATCTCCAGTCTTCCAGCCTCCTGTGCAGTAAATAAACTTTTGTTTCTCTCTGTTTTTGGGTTTTTTTTTTCTGGCTGGCGGGTACAGGGATCCGACCCAACCCAGGTGTCATCAGTACCACGCTCTAAACAGTAAATAAATTCAAAGGGAATGAAAATGCAGGATCAAAATAGTGACATATATAAATGGTTTTCAGTTGGTACATTGTTTTCAATCCTCACCCCTAGAAAAAAAAAGAAAGAAAATGGAAGAAAGACTTCTGGGGATGTCGTGTCGGCGAGGCCCCGCGTGGGGGGCCCCCCGCAGGCATCCCTCGGGCTGCCCCTACCCCGGCGCCCTCAGCTCCCACGCGTGGGTCGGGGCATAGGGGGTGCGGGGAGCCAGGGTCCAGAAGGTCCAGGGCGCGTGGGGAGGGCGTCCAGCAGGTCTGGGGCGCGTGGGGAGGACGTCGAGCAGGTCTGGGGAGCGTGGGGAGGGCGTCCAGCAGGTCTGGGGCGCGTGGGGAGGACGTCGAGCAGGTCTGGGGAGCGTGGGGAGGGCGTCCAGCAGGTCTGGGGCGCGTGGGGAGGACGTCGAGCAGGTCTGGGGAGCGTGGGGAGGGCGTCCAGCAGGTCTGGGGCGCGTGGGGAGGACGTCGAGCAGGTCTGGGGAGCGTGGGGAGGGCGTCCAGCAGGTCTGGGGCGCGTGGGGAGGGCGTCCAGCAGGTCTGGGGCGCGTGGGGAGGGCGTCCAGCAGGTCTGGGGCGCGTGGGGAGGGCGTCCAGCAGGTCTGGGGCGCGCGGGGAGGGGG